ATGAAGAGAACCTTCGGTATGTTGCGGAGTGGCGCTACAGCCGTGAAGGCGAGGGGACATCTTTGTCAACTACATCTTTTACGGGATGTCTTTTGTACATTATCCAGCATGGCTCTGAGGACTGCGCAAGGGAGGCGGCGCTCTGCGTAAAAAACCTGTGTGGTCACGCCAAGGCTCTGGAGTCATTGCTGCAACAGGATGCAGTGGAGTTAATTGGTGGCCTTGCAGAGCGTGGCTCCTCTGACTCCGTACGTCGAGCGGCAACAATGACGTTGCACTCTCTGGCGCGAGCTCAAAGGCGATAGGAGGTAAAACACATGAAACCTTCAAAACATGGGTACAAAAAGTGGGTGGTGCGGTGACGAGTGGAAGATGAAAAACAAAGAAAAGTCAATACATACACATGCACATATACACATGAAAAACAACAGCAAAAGATGAAAACAATGCAATAGGAAAGGCTGCGTAGGAATTGTTTAGGGAAAGTAGAGCCGCGTGTGGTTGCTACTGTTTCCCCGTGATTTGTTGATAATAACGGGCTCTCTCTTGGTGAATCCGATGGGAAGGGGTGGTAATGAACAAGGATGGATGTAGATATATATATCTTTATTTATTTGGGGGCCGCTTTGGTTGTAAATCCTTTTTTTTTTGTGGTTGTTTTTGCTCCCCCACACACGCACACACAAATAACATATGGATGGTTTCTTTCCTGCCTCCTGCGACGTTGTGCCATTTGCTTGGAGGGAAATGGAAGGTGAATTCCTGTGAGAAGAATTAAAAGGGGGATGTGCAGCAGCAAAAGAAATGGAAAAGCGTAGCAAAAGGAACCAACGAGGAAGAGTCAAGTCAAAGTGTTTTGTGTACAGAAATTAGAGAGTGGTGGTGGTGGTGGGCGATAAAGAGCGCGGGGAGAGAGAGGAGAGGGAGGGGAAGAAGAAGCGACGTTTTTTTTTTTTTTTAGTTTTTTGTTTGTTGTTTGTTTATTTTTTGCCCATGCACGTCCCGCTAGAGGGAACACATGAATAAAAGGCACATTTCTTTCCACACGACGACGACGACGACGAGGGCCAAAGCTTTGGAAATGACAACGAGAAGAAAGAGAGGGGGGAAAATTCAAATTGACACCACGCGGACGGAAATGAATTGGAGTACTCATTTAAACACAAACAGATGGATAAGCTTCGTGTGTGTGCGTGTGTGTGTGTTTGCTGCCGAAAACAATTTCCCCCTACGCGTGAGGTTTACAGGTGCATTGGGACAGGAACGCGTTCTCTCGCCCTTTTTTTTTTCCCTTTCACACTCTCTTGTGCGATTTCTTTTTTTCTTTTTTAGCCGGTGGGGTTGACGACGAGGAAGAACTCTTTGGGCGGCTCCCATATCACGAAGCCTCTCAAAAAGAAGCAGAAAAAATATTCTGATGATGAGAGGGATGTTTTGCACCGCTTCCACATGTGATGGTTTTTTTTTGTTGTTGTTATTGATGAGTTCTGCTGTGTGGTTGATGTTCACTTCCTCTTTTTTATTTTTTATTTTTATTTTTTATTTGGGTTTGGTTGCCGGTTGAAGTGGGTGCCGATGTCTTTGAATAATTCCGGTGCCGCTGATACGGACAAGAAGAGCGAAACGGAATACGTCGAGGGGGAAATTGCGCCGCTTTACGTCAGCCTCTCCCGCAGCGCCCCGCTGCCTTCGGAGGATTACGTGCGCGTGGTGGCTCTGAGCGGCGCAGGCGACGTCAGTAGTGATGCTCCGTGCGTGCAGAAGAATGCTCGCACGGATGGCAATTGGAAGAATGGCAGCTGCATACAAAACTTAACGGAATTGGAGGGAAACGAACCTGTGCGACACGATTTTGCGCTGCATCTGCGCGGCGCGCGGAATTGCCGCTTGTTGGACACCATCTTGGATGCGTACGATCTTCACATGGGTGCTATAGACCGCGATGCGGTCGACGGTATCGCGGAGAATAAGGCAGATCGAACCGGAAAAGACGCTGTGGGTCATTTGCCCCCTGTAGTTCTTCCACAAGCAACATACAAGGGATGCAAGGCACTTTTTCTGTACTTGGAGCTGATTACTACGCGTGTGCCTACAACAATCTCGAAGCCTCTCCGTGCACCAATTGAGGAACTTCTTCAGCCGTGGGAAATGAACTTTTTGCTAAAAGACTGCATGGACGACACGACCAGTCGTGCAATTTCGCAACAAATGAATGATGGGAAAGAGGGCAAAACAAAGGGTAGAAAATCGGTCGGGGATGCCAGGACAGCTTACTACAGTGCCATCGTAAATAACGCACCTGACTCGTTGAATCTGATAACGGAACTTGCAATGCTAAGTGATTTTCTTATTGTTGAACCGCTGCGGCAGTTGACTTGTGCTTTTCTTGCATCCTTGGCGCTTGGCGCCTCCTCCGAGACGGAATTGTTGCGGCTTTGTGGACTCTCTCGCCCCCTGACGGAGGAAGAATTGGATCCACTTTATGCTCAGTTTCCTTTTCTCCGCCCTGACACCGTCTCTGACTTGTAGCTGCACCATGGCCGCTATTCATGTGTAGGCATGAGTGTGCTTATGCGTGACCCTTTTCTTTTATCCCCCTTTTTTCTCCCGCTCGTGAGACGTGCCAGGGGAATGTGAGGGTGGATGGGGGATAATGTACACTGCTGTGCTTTATTGCCAAGACGACGCACAAACACACAAAGCAAAAAAAAAAAGGAGGGCTAATGAAAAGAGAAAGTGAAAAAAGCTTATTTGCCGAGCTATACGTCATGTGTGTGTTGACATACACATAGTATATACGCATGTGCATGGCTCTGTTGCTCGTCCAACGATTGGAGAGAACCACGCAGGAGGGAACCGCAGCTGGAATAAAAAACAAAAACAAAAGCAAAGACAAAAAAGAAGGGAGAGTAAACTTAGCTTGTGAATAAAATGTAGAAGAGACGATACGACAGTTGGGAAAAGGGGAAAAGTAGCAAGGGAGGAGGAGGAAGGAGTGATTACACCTGTGCATCTTGCTGGATGGGTTTCTTTTCTTTTTCTTTTCTTTTTTAATTCTTTTACTTTGTGCATTCTATTCCGCTTTTTTTTTTTTTTTTTTTTCTTACCCAAGCTGTCCTTGCATGCGTGCATGTGTGCGTGTGTGCATATATATATGTATATTTGCCAACGTTTTTTTATGATTTCCTTACTTTTTTCTTTCTGTTGCACTTCTTTTTTTTGCCAGCCATCTGTTTTATTATTATTTGCTGCCCCTCCGTCCGTGTTATTTCCCTTTCGTTGGGAAAACCGACAACACACACACACACACACACAAAACACACGCAGCGGGAATCATACGAAATAGGACGGAAACAAAAGCCGCTATTTGAAGGCGGGGACCAATTTAGGGAGGAGGAGGAGGAGGGGGTATTAGAAGAGGCGAGGAAGGTCGCCGCGCTGGAAGTGCATATATTATATATTATAGGGTGTGAAGAAGGGACGCGGTCGAAGAGTGTGCCTCCTCCCAATTCTTCCAAGAGGGAAGACATCTGGTGCGATTGAGGGTTGGAAGGGGAATAAACCAACCAATAAAACAACAACAACAAAAAAGGACACTACTTTTAATCTTCTGAGACATGAGTGACGAGGATAGTGGGGAGTATTTGGATACACTGGCGAACAGGCGTCTTCCCTCGACATTAGTGAGTAATTTATGTGACAATGACGGCGACGCGGATACGTTAAACAGTAGCACCTCTACCGCGGGGCCACCGGGCTTTCGTCGGACAGGTCGCTACCAAAACCGCCCCTGGGAGACTGGATCTAACACAAGCTGCAGTTCCCCCAGCAGTGCGACGCAGCAAAGATACGGGCGAACTGGTGCATTCAAAAATAATGGAAGCTACCGTTCCGTGTACTCGAATAAACAGTGCTCGACAGGCAAAAGACGCAGTATGAGTAATGCCAGCACAGTCGTCAGCCTCATTGGTAGCGTCCCTGAGTGGAGCCGATCATTCTGTCTCTTTAATCCATGGCGGGCGGCTGCAGCGTCGCGATCATCGTTCCACTATGCTAACCAAGCGTTGTTTGCTGGGAAACATGTTGTTCCAGGCCCTGGGGGATCATTGTCGTCAAGCATAACCCCTGGAGCAGCACCGATAGGACTTGAAAATCACCGCCGTTCTGTCTCTTTTGGTGTGTCGCAGAATCATAATGTTGGGCCCGGTGGAGAAGGTTATGCTGGCCGCAGCACAAGTACACTCTTTTATACTGGCCACTTGTCACCTTCCTCTGTGTCAACTAGTCCAATCATCGGGGGCCATCGAAGTGGGCGTCAATCTATGCTGTGGGGAACATCAACTCCTACAATGACGGCGTTCCATGCGGTTGGTGGTGCGGCGTGGCAGCTTGGTAAAGGAGTTACAGGGAATATTTCACCTGCAAGGAAGGAGTTAGCAACGCTGTTACCTTCATTTTGTTCTTATTTGAGTCTGGTTGGAAAGCCAGTTATCAGCGGTAATGCTGACCACCCGATGGATATGCGTAAGGGACCACTGATTGGGGTAGGAGGATTTGCCAAGGTGTATGCTGGCATGGATTGCGTGAGTGGAAGGCTTGTAGCTATCAAGGAGATAAATATTGCGGAGATTAATGATCAAGCGGCATTAAATGCGATTGGTAAAGAATTTGGCTTACTTAAATCTCTTCGACATCCCAATATTGTGTCATATCAACTTTTTGAACATAGCGCGTCACAGAAGGTATGCCGCATTGTCATGGAGTTGCTTACCGGCGGCTCGACGCTGGCTCTCCTTGAAAAATACGGTCCACTAAGAGAACCTATTCTCCGCAAATTTGCCCGTCACCTTCTAGAAGCCATTGCATTTATCCACAAGGAGGGCATTTCACATCGAGATATTAAACCGGCGAATATTCTTGTAAGCGACCGTGGTGTCGTGAAGTTGTGTGATTTTGGTTGTAGTAAACGTGTGAATGAGCTGAGCAAATCTACAAACTGCGTCATTGGGACTCCTCTTTACATGTCCCCTGAATTTATTAAAGGCGAATTTAATCCTAAGTCAGACATTTGGTCTATGGCATGCTCGCTTTTTGAATTAGGGACCGGTCTGTTGCCGTGGCACCATGCGAAAGTTCGTGACAACCTCCCACTTATGTTTTATATCACCACTACAAGTGAAACGCCACTCACAAATCTTCCACAGGACGATGTCCAGGAATTCAGTCTTGAATTTAAGGACTTTATGGAACAGTGCTTTATCAGAGATGTGAAACAGAGACCCGATGCAGCGGATTTATTGGATCACCCGTGGATAAAGGGTGCTCGTTTGAGCCCGGCGCACAACTCTTTTTCCGTTCCTTTTCCTGGCGGTGCTAACAGTCCTACTTGGCCATTGGTAACACGTCCGGCCGAGGAAGAGTTCTTCTGTCAGTATGAGCTCGAGGAAGTGGCAGCTTATATTTCAGTTGATATGTGCAGCGCGTGGATGTTGAAAATTGGTACGGGTCTGCCCTCTATCTTGTTTTCCTCTCAAATGCATCAGCAGCAGCAGCAGCAACAATCGCAATCGCAGCAACATTATCTGTCATTGCAGACGGATATTCGTTCTAGAAGCGAGGAAATATCACCACAACAAAATCCAATAGAACAACGTCATTTGGAATCACAGGGAGCGATATCAGGCAGCCAATGTCACAGTCCAGCGGTGAGCTCCCGTGGTGGTGGCTGGGTTTCCGTAAGTCCTACTGTCACAGTAGATGCCGCGCAGAATGATCAATTTAATTACTCAATTCCATTAGGGGCGTCGGAAGGGCGTTTTGTCCTACCATCTTACAGTACATCCATGATGCTTCCTTCAGCAGCACAGTACCTTCGTATTAATGCTGATGGCAGCCTTGACTTTGTCCCGGTGGATGAGGAAACGGTGGAGGTGGATGCCGATGTGGATGACGCGTTTGCTTACTCTCATGAACACTTCTTTAACCGATCTCCTAGCTCTAATTTTGCATTTAGAAGCAGCTCACCCCCTGGTGTTGCTGCAACTGTGCACGCTCATGAGGGACATTCTCGTCATTGCAGCCCTGGTAACCTCAATAACAACATTAGTCATTCCGCCATTTCTGCTGGAAGGAGCCCTGCTAATCGCAATGCCCGTCATGGACCTGCGGTTTATAATCAGAGTATGTCTTTGATGTCCAACTCATCCTTTCCATCTCGTGGAGTTTCACCATCACGTCGTTCGCAAACCGCGTCAACGGCATCGCTGACAGCCTCTCAGCACCTTCCGACTCTTCTTATGATGACTGGCTCAATATCTGTTTTCGCTGGGGCTTCTATGAACCACAGCAGTGATGATGTCTCAGCAGAAGCTCAGGGTGGTGTGCCATCTAGCTCAACTCTATCCCGTTTTCCAGATAGCATTCGTGATGCAGGAGGTCGCTTACATATGTCGCTTTCCGTTCCAACAGGAGGTTCAGATCGCCGTGTGAATATTGAGCTTAGTGTTGACCCGGAAGACGTACATTGCAAATATATTGAACGTCGACCAAGTTACGTGGTGGCGTTTAGTGAAGACATTAGGGCTCAGCTTGCTGCCAAGATGAACGAACTGGCACCGAGCAGTGTGAGCAGCCCAATTGAAAGTCAATGGGCTTGGGCAGGGAGTAGTACAAGTCGTTGCGTTTCTCGTAGTGCGCAAGCACTCAGTAGCCAGTCTTTTTCTCCTAGGTAGGCCTAGTCGCTTCATTTTTTTTTTTTTTATTATTATTATTGTTGCTGTTGTTATTTTCTTTTGCTTTGGTTGCATTGCTGTTTTCTTTGGGGGTTTGCCTTACACACATGTAACTTTTCTTTTCGGAATCGGAGTGGAAGCTATTCCTAGAGTCAGAATGGCAATGAGATGAAAGCAAACATTTCTTTTATTTATTTATTTTGGTATAATGGTGAGTAGGGGGGTGCGGCGGAAACTACACGAGGAAAGAAGAAAATCCCGTTTTTTTTTTTTTTTTCTTTCTTTCGTTTCCTTTCCTTTTCCTCCCTGCCGGAGGTGTACGCATCGTGCAGAAGTGAATAGCGAGTGTCACAACTTTATTCATGTACCAACGTGTAATATGAATATAAATAAATATCAATATGCCTTCTCTCCAGGTGTGAATCATCCGTCAAAGGGAAAGGGTGAAAGGAAGAAAAAAGGAGAAGCCAAAAAAAAAAAAAAGAAAAGGAGGAGGAGGAGGAGGAGGAGAAAATGAAATTAGATATGCAAGGAAGAAAAAGAAGAAAAAGTACGTTTTTGAGACCAATGGGAATTGTATTTGTGTGCCGTCATTTCAATGAGTTTAAATACAAATGAAGAAAAGGGGGACAAATGTGAGATGAAAATATGTGGCAAGCTTCTACGTCTACTCTGGAAATGTGCTGATTTATTTTATTGCTTTATTATCTATATACATACATACATACATACATATGATCATTTAGGAGAATTTCTATGTAAAATGGCAATGAGAGTCGTTTTCTTTTTTTCTTCTTTTTTTTTCTTCTTTTCTTCAACTCTTTTTAAGTTTGTACTTATACTCTAAAAAGAAAGAAAACAACAACAACTGTGGTGTCACTTGCAATATGGTTTGCATCCCTCCTGATCCATCAAATACCTTTTCGTAGCTTACTGAGAAGGTTTTTTTTTTTTTTTTTTTTTTTTTTTGGTAGAGGGGAGAGGGGGTGAATGCAAAAGCCATAGAGATGCTAACAAAATAGGTGTATAAATGGTTTACTTTAGAAGTGTTTTTATGTGTGGTGTTGTTTTATTGTGTTGTTTTTTACTTGAATGATGATGTTGTTGTTTGGTGTTATTATCTTTCATTGCTTTATTTTATTTTATTTTATTTTTTTATTTTTTGAAGTTGGAGATTACGTTAAAAAGAAAAAAAAAAAAACTGCACTGGTCTCTGGCTTTTTTGTAGTAGTTGTTGTTGATGTTGTTTTCGTTTTTCCTCTTCTTTTTTTTTTTTTTTTCTTTCCCAGTTGTATATAGTGTACGCATTTTTTTGTGTTTATTTACTTTTTCCGTTTTCTTTTCCGTCTGTTTTCTTTTTCTTCTTATTGTTATTATTCCCCGGTTGTGTAGGTGGTGAATTATGCTTCCACTGCCATCGTCCTTTGTCTGATTGCATGCAACCTGATTTATTATTATTATTATTATTATTATTATTATTTTTTGCTTTGCCGCTGTACTTTGTGTGTACCGTTCGAGTCGGACTCCTTAGCCTTGTATGTGTCATTGCCACCTCCATCGTTGCTCATTTTTATCTTCTTTTTTTGTTGTTGTTGTTTTGTACGCGTGAGGAAACCGAAAAAGGGACACCACGCGGTTAGTGGTACGCTGCGGCTCCCATTCCCACTGGGCCACCCACCGCAAGTTCATTTCGATGGACTCATTGGTGGCGGGGGGAGTCGCCGGTCTCGTGGTGGATCTCACTCTGTACCCGATCGACACGATCAAGACCCGCCTGCAGTCGAGGAGTGGGTTTTATCAGGCGGGTGGATTCCGCGGGGTATACAAGGGCCTCAGCGCCGTCGCCATCGGGTCTGTCCCCGGCGGTGCTGCCTTTTTTGTCGGCTACGACCTCACAAAGCGGGCACTTTTGGATGATGGCGGGGAGAACAACTTGACTACAGCGCGTCGATTGACATCGCAGGCTGTGGCCGCGATGGCGGGTGAAACTTTGGCGTGCCTCACACGTGTGCCCACAGAAATGGTCAAGCAACAGCTCCAGGCGGGACACCACCACGACATTTACCGGGCACTCTCGCACATCACGCACAATATTCCACCGGATGCCGCCTCAGTGATGGCGCCGAGAAAAATACGTTGGCTCGGTCTCCCGTTGCTTTTTACGGGAATGCCTATCATGTTACTGCGTGAATGGCCGTTTTCTATTGTCCAAATGTGTTGCTACGAGGGACTTAAAGCATGCTTTCATACAGAGGAGAGACCACAGTATTTGCCGCTGTGTGGGGCATTGAGTGGTGGCACAGCGGCGTTTCTCACAACACCATTGGATGTGCTGAAGACACGCATCATGCTGGGGCAGGTGGGGGCTGCAAAGCGTACAACACCCCGTGGGACTGCGGCGGTTCGTGCAGCGTTTCACGACTTGTTGTGTGAGATGCCGCGGGCAACAGACAAGTGGGGAGGGGCACAACGATTTTTTCGTGGAGCCGTCCCACGTGTGATTTGGATTTCTATCGGGGGAAGCGTCTTTTTTACCACGTACGAGACCGTCTGGCGTGGTTACCATTGGGCCACGACAACAAAATAAAAAGCATAAGCGACGCGAACAAAATAATTTTCACAAATCGCACACGCCGGAGACGTTTTGCCTGAGAATGATGACGGTGTCGCATCACTCTTAGTTGGAACGGGGGAGAGTGTCCAAATGGAAGTATCGAGGTGCCCCATGTGATGAACAACAGAACACATGCGTGTACATGAATTTATGCGCATGTGTAAAAGCCATACGAGTAAACGCTGCCCTTGACATCACTTTGCTTTTTTTTTTCCTTTTTTTTTTGTGCATATTTGCCGCTTTTTTTTTTTTTTTTGTCTTAACAGCATTGCTTTTACTCCCTCTCAATTCCCACGTTGATTAAAATGGGAATAGAACACGAAAAGAATTCAACGCGAGGAGGCATGGAAGGAGGGGAAAAGAGGGTAAAGAAAGAAAAATAATTCGAATGCTGGCTAGCCGATGGAAAAGAAGAAGAAAAAAAAAAAAAAGAGAGTGAGAGAGAGGGAAAGAGAGGAGGACCTTGCGATTTTGTCATTAACAAGGGCAGGAATTTGTGTGTACACGGGGGTCCGGCCGTATTTTGTCTCTGGTTTGTATATATATATATATGGAATGCGTCTGCTGCGGTTGTTTTGTTGTTTTTAGTTATTTAATTTGTATTGTGCTTCATTTCTTTTGTTGTTTATTTATTTATTTTCTTGTGAATGAAGTTTTTTTTTTTTTTTTTTTTTTTTTGTTGTTGTTGTGTGTGTGGAGTTACGAAGGGAGTGGGGTGGGAGTTTAAAGTTAAAGGATTAAAAAATAACCGGAACGGAGTTCGCGAGGGAGTTGAGGAGGCGGAGTGCACAGGGAGGGAGTAGTTGGAAGAGTTAATGCGCCGCAGTAGAGGCGTCTCCCCTGACAACAGTTGTCGCGGCGGGGCGGGGGGTGGAAGCGGACGCAGTGGTGGGCGTGCTCTTTACTCCCACTATAGTCAGGGCCACGCGTCCCTATCCTCACCACCGTCGCAGCCAGGCGCAGCGGATGTTAATGAATACACCCAGGAAACGCTCTATTCCACGTCAACGATGCCACTGCAAGGGAGGGCTGATAGTTACAGCTCCTTTTTTCGTCAGCATTTTTCGCACCACCACCACCGCCATCACCAACGGCGTCAGCTTCATCATCAGCAACAACAACACTACCGAGAGCAGATGATGCCCATGACTTCCATGCACCATAGCCGAACTGAAGCGACAATGACGGATTCCGGCGTGGTTGCTGATAGTCTTCACTCGAAGCACTCAGAAGCTACGAGCACTGACTTGCCGTCAACAGTAGTGGGTGAGTGTCCTCATGATACTCCGAAGGAAGGGAATGCGATGACATTACATCGGTCGGTTGTTTCTGGCTCCGGCAGTACTCCAATTTGTTCAATTGATGTGATGAGAGGTGGGGAAAGTCTTTTGCGACGATCACTTCAGTCATTGTCAGTGCCTAGTCCCTCCGGGAAACAATGGGCCCGTGTTCTTTACAATGACAGATGGCCTGGCGATGGTAGCAACTCCAATAGTGGGAACTGTCAAGAAGCTTGTGCTGAACCCTGTGGCCTTTGGGAAGAAAGCGGCAATATTACAGTTGCAGCCTTGGCTCCTAGTGCAACTCCTCAGCGAATACAACAGCAACCGAAACAAGAGGCACATGCGTTTTTACCGAAGGATGAAAGTTTTCTGACGATCGAGTTGCAATGTCATCAGCAGTCTCCTTATGAACCAAGCGAAAAATCTTTTTCGCCTCCGTTTTATCCTAAAGCGGCGGGAGTGACAAACACAACGACCCCATGGCGATACACCGTTGCCCGCAGGGATCAATATTATAATAATAATATTTTTTTGGATTTTGGTGAGGCAAGTACTTCACTGGTTGAAGCAGCTGCGATAACGGCAATACCCGCAACCCCTCTGGAAGATATCAGTGTACTACAGACAACCGACAACTGTGAAGAAGAAGAAGGAAAAGCTACTAAAGAAACGGCATGTTGGAAACAGGAACGCCAAAAACCACAACACCATGAACAAAGACAAAGTGAAGGTGATGGTTCCGAGGGTTTGTATTATAATTCTTTATCGTCCGCTCAGTTGGGTACGACACACTCTTCGGATGGGGTGGTTGTAGCCCGCCCGGCACAAAAGCAGTCATCAAAAGAATCGCAAAGACTAGAGCATGAGACGAATATGTATCTTGATGAGATGAGTACAAAGTATCTTCTTTCTCCTCAGCCTGAGTGTTATGCTGGTCGTATAACTTGTTGTGTAGACCTCGATAACACGTTGGTGTATACGTTTTCGCGGCCTCCATCATGGTGGGATTCGGAGAACAATCCACTGCACCTTGAGGTTGAGGTTGGATCGTCTTTTGAAGGGAAAGAATCTAGTATCGAGAGGAAGAATTGCGGCGAAGACAGCACCCCTAAGTCGCTTTCTGCTTCGTCTTCACAGTATTTAGACTCTGATAGTGGCATTCATGTGGTCAGACCGCCACCACGAGAACGAATGCGTCCACAAAGTCGTGATCGGCATTATGTTTGCATTCGACCATACGCGTTGGAATTTGTTCAATTCTGTCTGGATAAGTTTGAGCTGGTTTTTTTCACTAGTGGTACGGAAGAATACGCGCGTCCCATCTTTGACCGTCTAGAACCAAAGCGAGTCGCTCACCGCTTTTACCGTCAACACTGCACAGCGTGCGGGGATGGAATGTACATGAAGGATCTTTCCATGCTAGGACGTCCGCTTGATCGTGTTATTCTTTTTGATGACCGCGGACCGGATGTAAGCTTTCAGCCCGACAACGTGCTCTTCTGTGAGCCCTTCATTCTTGAGGGAGTGGATGATGCGTATAGCCTTGCTACAAAAGATAATGAGCTGTGTGGATACATGGAGTTTCTTGAGATGCTGACAAACTTAAAGAGGGACGTTGTGCTAAAGGCGGTGCAAGTGTATCAGGAGGAGGTGGTGAAGGGGACGATGATGCTATTAAACGACGAAATGCGAGCAATGGAGAGCGCGGCCGGCGCGGGCGTGGGTGTAATGGTGGAGAGAGAATCCGTAGCCGAGAATGACGAGGTGAGTTGCAAGGAGGGGGAGGAGGTGCGTGAATAACAAGTGGGAAGGAAAAAGAGCGGCACAATAGCCAAGGAAAGCCCGAGGGAAACTAGTTAATCCGCCCTTCTCCCTTTTCCCCTCAACAACAACAACAACAAAATAAAATGAAATGAACACAAGTAGGAGGGAGGCACACACACAAACAAACAAACAAACAATATATATATATGCATAAAATAAAAAATAATTACAAATGGCATGACAATAAACACACAGAAAGACCAGGTAAAACGTTACAAGAGAAGAGGACAGAGAGTGAAGGGCATTGCAACAAAAGAATTTGTTGACAGTGAAGATGAAAAGCATACGACCGTGTTTTATTTATTTATTTGTTTGTTCTTTTGTTTTTCTGTATGTTTTTTTTTTAAGAGAACTTTATTTGTCCATTTGGAACCCAAAACGCAGCAACAACAACAAGAGGGCGCGTAGAGGGAGTAAAAGGAGAGGGAAAGCAACAAAAGAAAACGGAATTAAATTTTTGTACATGTCTCTTTCTCTCTCTCACTCACTATGTGTGTGTATACATGTATATATGGCCGATGTTAATGTTTGTGGGTATCTGTTTTACTCTTGAACCAGTGTGAGTGGTGAAGGAAAGAACAGCATGCCTCTTGTTGGGCCGTATATATATATATATATATATTATATATATATATACATGTATGAGATGTACATACATCTATGTATATCTGCCTTTGTTTTTTTATTTTATTTACTTTTTTACATCACGGAGAGGGGTGCAGCACACGTTTGTATGCACGGGACGCGAGAAACTGAACTTCAAATGGGGGGAAGTCGTTTTGAAGTGTAATTTGCGATGACGAAAATAAAGACGGCAGTCGATTTTTTTTTTTTTTCTTCTTCTCCCTTTTGTCCGTTCTTTTGTTGTTGTTGTTGTTTTTGTTTTGTTATTTTTGTTTGGCGGGGAGTGGCGGGGGGTCTACTTTTTAGTTGCTTTTCAGGGAGCATCCCTTTTGCACTGCGTTTTCCCCTTAGATGTGCATGTCGTTTGCGCCTCATACTGCCGGCCCCCTCTCCTTTCTCTCTCTCCCTCTCTCTCTTTGTTTTTCTCTTCATGTATTTCACTTGTTTCTTCTCTCTTTTGCGTCGTATGTTCCTTCTGCCTTTTGTTGTTCTCTTTTTTTTGTTTTTTTTTTTTTTTTGTACGCGACGTTTGCGGGCTGCCTTGTCGTGTTGTTTGCGACAGCAGGGAGGGGTAAATTCTCTTCTTTGAGCGGGGAATGTGAAAAAGAAAAAGAAAATAGAGAGAGGGATAATAATAGATGGTATGAGTGCAAGGAATGACTGTATACAAGCGTGCTTTAAATTTTTTTTTCCTATTTCATACTACCGCACTCTTCCCGTTAACCTTTTTTTTTTTTTTTTTTTTTTGCCTTGTACGTTTGTGGATGTTGGGAGGCCATTGATATAACTTTATTTTTGTATCTATACATCTATACATCTATATATATATATATATATTTGTTTTGGCTGGCTGCCCTTATTTCAATATTCCTGCTTGTTTGTTGTTGCCTCCACGTAGTTTTTTTTTTTTTTTGCGGCACACATAGGATCATGTGGGCATGATCGCTGAATGAATGGAACGGATGCCGACAGCATTAAATGTTAAATAGGGATACGGATGTGGTGTTTTTTTTTTTTTTTTTCCTTTTCTTCTATTTCTCTGTAGATGTATTTTGGATGCGATTTTCTTGCTCAACGCGAATGGTGATAATGTTTGTTTGTTTGCTTATTATTTTGTTATTTATTATTATTATTATTATTTTTTTTTTTTGAAGAGCTTGTCGAGGAATGAAATGAAATGAAAAGGACATGTCGCAATGAGGGTTGTCACCGGCTTAATTTATCACAGGGGAGGTGTTGCCAATGTTGTTTGGGTGCATCTTTCCCTTTTTTGAGGGTTTATTTGTTTTTCTTCTTTCTTCGTAAAAAAAAAAAAAAAAAAAAAAAGAAAAAAAAAAAAGAAATAATTTATTTTTATGTTCATATTGTTTCTGTCTCCAGGCGGGATGTATGTTGTGGTTGCCGTGGCGGTGCGTTGGTTGCAGGGGAATCGAGCGTAGAGAAATCAAGTAAATAAACCGCAACAAAAGAGGGGAATTCCGGTCTGTCTGTCTGTCTGTATTTGTGTGTGTGTGTGTGCTGCGAGGCGCATCCACTGCTGTTGCTGTCGTGATGCGCCGGAGGAATGCGTCCTCTTTATTTATTTATTTATTTTCTTTTTCCGCGCATTGTCTCGAATATTTCGTGCTGTTGACACGTGTTTTAGATCTCTTTTTTCCTTTTTTTTCCTCCACATAATATATATATATATATATATATTATTCATGTATACATGCCGCCATCATGTGAGTAGATATTTGTATATATGTGGCCCTAAGGATTTCATTGCCACTCCTTATGTGGACCAGCATTTAAGCCCAAAGAGAGTATTGCTAATAATTAATTTGGTCCCTTTATTCAATTGCTGGGCCTACTGGGTGGAGTGAACTTTTTTTCTCTTCTTTTTTTTTTTGTGTGTGTGCCACGCGCTTTGCCAGTTTTAAGCGAGCATGGGGCGAATTGATGCGGACGAGGGAATCATGTGAGACAGTGGGAAGGGATGTGGTGTGTTGGGGTGTGGGGCAAAAGGGGGAGGTGCACAGGGAAGGAACACTGCTGAGTTTTGGTGCTGTCCGTGTTTTTTCCTTGCATATATATATATGTATGTATGTGTGGAATGGTTTTCTTTTTCCTGAGGATGGCATTGTTATTTTTGTAATGGCGATGTGAATTGATGTGGGGGGTTGCATGTGGCAAAGGAATGACATGCAGTGGGGAGAAGGCTGCCTTGCGGGCAGAGAGAGACTTTGAAGAAAATAGAAATTTTTATGTTGGTGGTGGTGGTGGTTTTCTCTTCAAAGGCTCGGCGTGTCTGTTCCCTTCGATTTTGTCCTCATGTTGACACCGTTGACATTTACCTCCTTCCTACTGTTGCTGTTGTTGCGGCAAATGTCTGACTGCAGGAAGAGGGGGGGAGGTGTTCACGATTTATTATTTGTTTTTATTATTTTTTTTTTATTTTGCCTAAATGTTTTTACCGTGTCCCCGTCTTTATGTATCTGTCTCTGTTTCTCTTTCTTCTCCCTCCCTATGGCTTGATATTTTGTGTCATCTGCTGTCAGTCTGTCTTTTTTTCCTTCTTTTTCGGTATTATATTTTTGTCGATTTTTGTTTGTTTATTTGCCGCGCTTTTTTACATTTTTTTTTTTTTTTCCCTCTCTTTATGTATGTGCGTGTGTGCGTGTGTGTTTTTGCTCACAGATACCAATGGGGGTGCATCCTGTGGCGCCCCACCGTGCATGCATTCATGGGTGAATGCGCGTTGAGTTTTCTTCCCATTTCGACGCCTTACGGAAGGGCCGCAAGAAGACGACAAGAGCAGATGAATTAAAAGGAAGGCAATGAAGGAAGAAAAGAATAGAAAAAAAGAAAGAAAAAAAAAAAACAACAAAAGTTTTGTTGATTATTTTTATTATGTTCATTTTTATGCGGATGTTGTTATTGTTGTTGTTTTTTCCTTGTCTTTCCCACTGCCACCAGAAGGAGAGGGGAAAAATCAAAAGAAACGATAAGAGTTTGGTGTTTTCTTGAGGAAAGCTGGAGGGGTTTATTGTTATTATTATTATTATTATTATTGGTTGCCACTTCCGCATCTACACGTGTCTAACATTTTTATTTTTATTTTTATTACTATGCAGCTGCACCAGCTAGTCATATTAGTGCAATCCCACCCACGCATTGATATATATATATATATATATATATTGCAGCAGGATGGGGATAGAGTTTTTTCTTGTGGTAAACAAACAGGGCCAGACACGTCTGGCGCAGTACTCGTCCTTTATGTCGATTGCTGAGCGTACCGCTCTTGAGGGCGAAGTTGTTCGAAAATGTCTACAACGACGAGAATCGGATTGTAGTTTTGTTGAGCATCTGCATTATAAACTTATCTATCGTCGCTATGCCTCCATCTTCTTTATTGTTGGCATTAAAAACAAAAGCATCTTTTCTACGTCGGCAAACGCCAATGGTGGGGCGGCGGCAGGGAATTCCTTAGGTGGTGCGCCAGTGGCACCTTTGGGGGAAACTGGCAGCGGCACTGACGAATTGCTGGAGGAAGGGGAGTTGGCGATCTACGAATTTATCCATCTTGTGGTGGAGACATTTGATAAATACTTTGAGAACGTCTGTGAGCTTGATGTCATGTTTAATGTCGAGAAGGCTCACTTTATTCTTGAGGAGATGCTTGTAAATGGGGGAATAGGGGAGACGAACAAGCTCCTAATTCTGCAACCAATAGTGCTGATGGACAAAGAGCCTCGTAAATTGTAAATGTGGAAGGGGAGGACACAACATTTTGTGCGTGTTGTGCTTGGCCATGTTCGTTTGCTGTCTGCAATGACGTTTTATTTATTTATTTATTTATTTTTATTTTTGTTGTTGTTGGTTCTTTGTTTGTTCAGTCGTTATCGCCTTTTATTCCCACATCCCATTCAACTCAGGCACCACCACGACGCCCCCTCTCATCTTTTTTTTTTTTTTTTTCTGCTGCAAACAGAGTATTGTGGGGAAAAACGAAAATTTTTTTTTGTTGAATACCGTCAGCTACTCTGTTTATTTATTTTATTTGTTATTTTTTCTTTCTTATTGTAATTTTGAGTGTGTTTGGAGAAAATCTCATCTGGGGATATCTTCTCGGTGCCACACACATCGGGAGGAGGCAAAAAGGGTGACCGGACTTTGGGGCGGGGGGTCTGCAGGATATCGTACAGACGACTCGTGGGGCGTTGCGGGAAGAAGCGGAGCGTGTGGAAGGAAGAAAGGAGGGAGAAGAAAAAGATGGTGTTGAGGCAGATTGAGGTTCGCACCACCCACGACAAAGTGCTGGAGGCCCGTGAGAATGCCTTTATGGAGTCGATCGCAAGGGAGAACGAAAACCCTTTTCAGCAGGCAGCCGACGCTCTGCTTGGTGCGGTCGGCCGGTTGTACACCAACTATTTATATACGTCTGGAACGTTGCTCCTTGCTTGGGCCTGGTGGGGGCTCTACCCACGCTACGCACGTTTTCGTCACAAGCATGTTGTACGGTTTCGGCGTAAGGCACAGTCGGAATTTCGCCGATGGTTTTTCTACACGCGGCATATACCAAAATGGGACAAGAAATACCTTCAGCGTGTGGAGTTACCGCGTCGGATGCCACATGGGACGCCTGCGGCGCGCAAATCCCCGCAATGCACGCATTCAAGTGTAATTTTGACATCATCATCATCATTGACCTCGTCGCATGATACAGACGCGGGGGCAGTAACGTCTGAACGTCATGAATCCGCGAGAAGTCAAGATCCTTTCATTGCCGTTCGTCTCACTGATGGAGCTTCCTTTGCAGGAGGATTCCGTGAGCAAATGGAGAGGAATGTTGCTTCTGGCATATGTGACCTCAATGAGTCTTTGCAGCAGCAATTAAAGGAGGGGCGTATTTTAAGTCGGGAGGCTGTGAACCCAGATGTTTTGCAAGGAGAAGTGAAGCAATTGGTGAAGCAAGCGGGCGGCATCGTTGTGCTGAAGGAGACCCATGAGACACGGCGGTCTGTACCGGTGGACCGAGAGATATGGTGGGTGTCTTCAGAAGAGGCACGACGACGACGGGAATGGTGGTTTTGGTTGCAGGTGCTAGTGGCCGCCCGCATATTAGAGGATCTGCTCGACATGCCGGAGATGCCTGACCTTGTGCAGTGATCTTCTCAACAACAAAAATGGATGAATAGGCGAAGTAAAGGGATAAAATGTGGTGGAAATCAAAACAAAGGGTTGGGGTATAGAGGGGATTGGAATGGGTGAAGTGAAACTCCGTGGTACCGTAGTGAAGACTCTGCATGAGGGATATCTGTCCGTAACCAATGGTGTGCATTGTCGATGTTTTTTTTTTTTTCTTTTTTTGTGCTCCTTGACTATCTCTTTCTTTGAGTGCGTTTATGTATTTGTGTTTGGAGAGATCTACACACCTGTCGTCGCAAACATTTTGGTTTGTTCTCTTGTATTGCTTTGCTGACGGGGAAGGGATTAGGAAGAACGAATATCTATTTATCTAATATAATATATTCGAACTTTATTTATTTATTTATTTTTTTGGTTCCTGTGGGGACGTATTAAATAGAAGAGTAATTTTGGACTTGATCGCCTTTTGAAAGAATGGCAGAAGAGGGTTCGGGTTTACATCAGTTCTGGAACACGCAGCCTGTCCCGCAGTCGAGTATTGATGCGGCCGATACGGTGGGGCCGCTGGAAGCAGCGGGGACCGTCGATGATGTCCCCACCGATCCGGTGGCAATCGCCTCAACACTGGAGTGGTGGTCCCCAGACATGGATAACAAAGATGATGTACGTGCCATATACGAGCTTCTGCGCGATAATTACGTTGAGGATGTTGAGAGCATGTTCCGATTTAACTATTCGGAGGATTTTTTGCGCTGGGCGCTTACCCCGCCGGGGTATCATAGCTCATGGCATGTGGCGGTCCGGCGTAAGCGTGACCAAATGTTGATGGGGTTTGTCTCTGGCATTCCAGTCACAATGCGTATGGGCGCCCCAAAGAAGGTACTCCAGAAAAACAAGACCACTGAAGAAAAAGAGCAAGGGCCGGAGGAGAAGAATAATGATCATAAGAGTCAGGCGGAGGAGCTTTACCTCGAACCTCGTAAGATCTGCGAGATCAATTTTCTTTGTGTGCATAAGTTATTGCGGGCGAAGCGGTTGGCACCGATTCTCATTAAGGAGGTAACACGTCGGGTGCATCTGATGAACATTTGGCAGGCTGTCTATACTGCTGGCAGGTTACTGCCGACACCGTTTGCGACTGCCGACTATTACCATCGCAGCTTGAACCCGGAAAAGCTTGTGGCGGTTGGATTTAGCGCGATACCGCAGCAATACCAAAAGTTTCAAAACCCATTGTCCATGATAAAACGCTTTTATGAACTTCCCGCCAAACCGAAAACACGTGGTCTTCGACCAATGGAACCAAAGGACGCGCCACAAGTAGCGAACTTGCTGCGAAAGAAACTTGCCACATGTGACGTTGCCCCCGTATTTACCGATGAGGAGGTGGCTCATTACACTCTGCCCCGTGAGGGTGTTTTGATGAGCTACGTGGTAGAGCGTGAAGTCAGTGGTGGTGGTGGTGGTGGTAGGGTTGATAGTAGCCGCGGCAAACAGAATGATGCTGGGACACAGAAGCAAATTACAGATTTCTTTTCATTCTTCTCACTTCCATCTTCCATTATTGGAAGTAGCAAACATTCCGTTTTAAATGCAGCCTATGTGTTTTACAGCGCCAACACAACAATTTCTCTCGTGCATCTAATGAGCGATCTTTTGATTGTAGCGCATCAACAAGGCTTTGATGTTTGTAACGTTGTGAACATTATGGACAATGGTGATTATCTAAGCGAACTCAAGTTTGGTCGAGGAGATGGTAATCTGCACTACTACTTCTACAACTGGTCGTACCCTATTGTGCAGCCAAGTGACGTGGGATTGTTCATGCTATAGGATGTGGGCGGAATTTAGGAGAGAAGTGCTCCTCTGTCTGCGCGTCTGTGGGTGGGCAGGTGGTGGAATACATGATCGGTTTGATAAGGTTATTTTGTGCGAAGAGACGGAGGGAACCCGCCTGAATTGGGGAGAAGCGGATTGAATAACAAGCAATGAAGTGGGAGGAAGAGGAACCATAAAAAGTGTTTAGGGGTTTGTTATGATGGCTGTGCAAAGAGAGAATGGGAGTGAGGAGGAACATTAGGAGGTTTTTAACTGTTGTTTATGTTCTCTTTTACGTAAGTATCATGCTGTTTTCTCATGGGGAGCCGCAGATAGCAATTACTGCGCTTTTATGGGGACGCAGAGAGGTTGTAGAGGTGGTGGCTTGTCGCCCCGCTAAAAGCCCATGAAGTACATACAACCATATACGGACATAGTGAGAGCGAAAGGGAACGACAATATATTCAGAACGGTGATTAATCCCTCTGCTGGATACGGGGAAAAAGGAGGGCTATGTTGGAATGCACAGTGATATTCCATTAGAAGCATGCTCATCCTTGACGGGATATTCGGGAAAGGGGATGCTTATATTAATTTTCTGAAAAATGAATTTTTAGCAGTTTCTTAACACAATGAGGTACTTATTTTTTTTTTTTTTGTCGTTTACATAAATTACCCTCGATAAATTTGTTTCCCTTCCCTCCCCTTTTATATGTTGTTGAGGATACGAGCAAAGTAGGAATATGATCGTATCAAGGGGGCGCATACGGGAGGTGGACCAAGGGCGAGTGAAAGAATCTATGACCTGTTGGAGCTCATTGAATGACGGCGCGTCTTGTTGATTTCCCCTTATATTTATATATATATTGATTACCTGATATGAATATATGCATACATGATTTTTATTTCTTTTTGTGGGATAAACTCTCGTTTAGGGGGGGATGCTGGGGGGTACTGAAACAAACTGCCATCTTTTTCTTCGTTTCTTTCTTTCCTTTCTTGTGTGTATGTCAATTTGGAGGAATATAGGGGGTGGAGGGGATAGGGGGCCCCAGCCAGAAGTATATTTGGGAGAACAAAACAACGAGGAAAAAAAAAAAAAGGGAACGAAGTTTTTTTGTAGATCGCCTCTTGGCCCTATTCTCTTCTGGAGAGGATGCAGAGCGGCAATAACGGGGTACCGCTTCCCATCTCGGTAACGGTGGTGCGGCAACAGTACTATCCGCGTGTGCCCCCAGAATTGCTTCTGAAGGAGCATGCAGGGAAATTTCATCTGTCAGGTTTTACAACAGCGTCTCTGCTAGACGCCATTTCACCGCGAGTGAGACCTCAATTACCACCCTTTGTTACACAGAAGGATAACATTGTTACGGCGAATGACGAGTTTACGTGCTCTCTGATTAGGGAGAATGTGAAGCGACCGCCCGTGCCGTGGGAAAACATTAAGAGACCAATTTCGGCTACCCAACGGTTTACGAAGAAGGCGGCGGCGGCGGCGGCGACGGAGACGAAGCGCCAAGCGAACACCGTGCCTCCATCATCAGCCATACCGTCGTCTTCTGCGAAAATGGGAAACGAGTTTCCGAAGGAATGTGATGAATTTATTTTTGAAGAAGCAACTGCATCGTATCTCACTGCTGTCGAATTTGTGCGAAAGCCTTTGAACTGCAATAATGATGAAGTAATGACGGGGCAGAAAATTGACGCAGGAAAAGAGCAATTGCAATCTCTTCAAGGGACTTTGTCAAATGACGTCACAATGGAAGAACGAGAGTCGCTGTGGGGGTACAGTACTGGGGCAGTGGTGCTTGTTAATTTGCGTTCCTACGCCGCTGATATTCGAAGTCGTCTTTATTACCAAACAGCTTCAACGCGAGATCAATGTTTATATATTGAAAATAGACTTGACATTGATGAAGAAACTTCTTTTGAAGATTCGGACGCTTTCTCATCCGTTGCCGAGGAGCAGCAGAAAGCCAATCCTTCAGAGAATGACGGATATACCCAGGAGCGTGGGATTTTTCAACTTGGGAGTGAGAAAGCCCCACGTGGTGTGTTGTTGCTGGGATATCATAATGTTGGTGGAGTCTGCTCTTTAGTGTATGATTCCCTTAATGATCTTGCAATATCTGGTGGGGTGGATGGCACATTGTTTGTATGGGATTTGCATCAACGATACCGAGGGGCGCTGAGAGAAAGGTATATGAAAGATGAAGAAGCGAAAAACATGCGCCCTACAGGGCAATTTGCTGCTTATGTGTATACGCGGCGTTTGACCCAGCGTCTTTCTCATGCCCATAAGTGTGCGATCAGCTCTCTTGCCACGCACTGTGAATTACTGATCAGTGGTGGAGTGGATGGCACTGTAAAAGTATGGTCGTGTTTGGAGTTTGCAGATTTGTCTTCTCGTGCTACACTGCCGCAGTATGTTGAACAACAAATATTTACTTGCAATGGATGGGTACGGCATATTTGGTCGGCTCCAGGACGTAATGTACAGGGAGAGGATGTTTTTGTTACGGGCGAAAACGGCTTTATCATTGGCTTTAAAGGACGTACGGTTTCACAGCAGCCTGTCATACAGACATTAGAAAGGGAGAAGAAGTTGTTAAATGCCCTTCGTAAATCAGCAGTGGCTCCTCTAACTCTAGCATTTGGTCTAACTCGAATTAGTAGAGCTGACACCGCAAACTCCGTACGTTTTCCCACTATTACGAAACCTGGGTTGGGTTCTGGAAGCACCAATACAAGATTGCCAAAGCCGGCGACCACTGAGAAGGAGGCGACAAAGCTTCTTCAACTTGGTATTATTACACGAGCATTATGCCTTACACGAAAATTGCAAACCATTGGTGAGGAGGCACGTTTAGCAAATTCACCCGTACACCGTCACTCTGTGCAAGTTGAGAGTACAAGCGCCATCACGCGTATTATTCCTTTGGTGGAGCGTAATTTATTTATAGTATTGGGCTATAGTCCTGTGGTGCGATTCCTTGATATGACTCGCTTAAGTGTGGCGGCGGTGGTAATACACCCGAGTCTGAGCGCAGCAGCAGGTGAGGGGAAAATTGATGACCTTCAAGCAACTTTTCCAGATAATTCCCAAGGAGTTGGAAAAGGAAATATGAAGAATACAAGTAGTGACGACTCGCAGAGCAAAGGACGGCGGATGTTGGGGTCTAAAAATGGCAGTAGGGGCAATGCGGAGCCTTTGCGTTTTTTAGATGTCTTGTATATTACTTCTTATGATTATTTAGTCTTATTGGACAATCGAAACACCGTCTATGTGTGGGACAATGTGGAGAACAAGTTTCTTGCCTCATGGAAGACTCCTGATACCAAAGAAATTGGGAAGCAAAAGAATGCACTTCGATTATTGCCTTGTGGCACACGTCATTATGAAGGTGACGAACCCATTGGTGGAAAACGGGTAAGTGCCCATGTGCAGTACAGGCCCAAACGTCGTATGGCGTGTTTTTACGAGCAGGCAGGCGCTTTAGGGGAAACTTTGAGGATGGAGGAGGATGCATCAGGAGCGATCACCATACCTTTTTTCCTTCTGTGCTCCGTAGGCCTCGAGTTGTGTGGTGTGGTGATTGAGGCCCAGGCACGACTTGAGGTGAAGGCACACCACGACACCATTGTAGGGATTTTTCTTCGCCAACCTCCACTTCTCTATTTTCAACGGGATAATGATAAAAATAAGACTGAAGAGAAACTCGAGGAAGCCGACACCTTTGAATTGGATGGATCCAGTGAAAAAATAATGAGCAGCGTTAGCCAAATGTACATACCCAGCGCATTCACTAGGAGAAGCACTATTTTTACTGAGAGCAACAGAAGCAGGAAAACCACTGAAAAGGCAGATTTTGCTTTTCCAACTGAATGGCCTCCTAATTCTCCAAAGAAGAACGAGGATGATGCTCGTATCTGTGTGCTATCGTGCTCAGCGGATGGGACGATTTGTTTTTGGGGAGGCTCTTTTGAGCTCCTTACGGTGTACGATCAGCGGAGTTTTTCTGAAAAAAACAACGAAGTTTGCACCACCGTTTCACACAAACTCTTTGAGTTTGACGGCATCGTCTCCCCCTTCGATGCCCCGCCCTGCACCACAACGAAGAAAAATGGTGTGAAAAATAATGTTGAGCATAGTGAGTGTATTGATATCACAAGTTTTTACTTTAGCACACGATGGAATTTGGCTGTAACTGGGCACGATGATGGCAGTATTCGTTACTGGCCCTGTGGGAAAGAACTTGCAACTTGTGTTTGGCACAAGGGGCTGCATCGGAATGCTGTCTCTGGTCTTTTGGCAGCTCGCGTAATGGAGCGGGTTGACGTGGTTGGCGCATTGGCGCGGATTGGGAGTATTTTTAAATCTTTGGAGGCCATGGAGCCAAATGAATTGCTTGCGTCTATTTCTTTTGACGGTCACTTGGCTGTGTGGGAGTACCCTCAGCAATCCAAAGCACAACTGCGTGACTGCACTCGAGTTAGTTTTAACGAACTTCTTTGCATTGCCTTTGATGAAGTCAATGAATTGTTTGTTATTGGCGATAGTGCAGGAACCATTAGTTCGTGGTTTGCGAAGGATCTTGGGCCACACCGCTCCATTCCATCACGGCCTCCATCCCCATGGCGACCATCAACCGCTGTCGCCCTTCCGGCTTCATTTTTTGAACAATCACTCGGTACGAGTTCAAACATGTCGAAACGTCAACAGCGTCGTGGCACTCGTGGTAGTTCTGTTCTTTCTGCTGTTCCGGAAAAACAACAGGAAAAGAAGCGAATTGAACATACCGAAGCTGTGACGGCACTTATTGTGGATGGTAACTTTGTCTTTTCAGGCGGTGAGGATGGACGTGTTTTTTTGTGGGATCTTCGTATTGGTGTTCTCTTACGGGAATATTTCTTGTTGCATGATGTAGACGAAATTGCACATCATTGTAGAAAGACGATGTCAGCCTCAACCGACTGTAGCTCTATGTGCAGCAAGGAAAACAATCCCCGTTCTGTAGTACATATGCATTCTTTGGATTCATTGGATGTAAAACCGTATTCGGAAAATGTTACTTGTATGGTATTACTTAAGCGACGAAACGGTAACTTCCTTGTTGCCACGCGCGAGGGTTGGGTCTATCACTTTGAGCAGAGCGACTCATATCCTCGCTCCACATATAAGCATCATTCTTCTGTGAGATGTATGTGTGTTTTTCAAGATGGATGCACAGATGATGATGATGCTGTAGGTGACAATGATCTTGCTGATGAAGGTGACGTTTATTCAGGGATATCCCGTGCGTTTGAGGTGGTGGTTGGGGATGATGAGGGGAAAATGGCTCTTATAAGAGAGTCATACTTCTTTTCTACCGTGTGAGTACAGCATTCAAACAATAGCAATCACGAAGATGAAGATGAAAAGCTGGAACACTTTGTCATTGGCTGGCGGAATGGAGTGTCCATCGTCTTATCTATTTGAATGCGAGGTGATACATTACCCTGTTTTCTTGTCTATATATATATATATAATTGCATGTATATTGTATAGTTTTTGTTTCCCTTTTCTCTCAATTTTCTCGTTTTTGCGTTTGTTTTCCTTCTTTTTCTTTTATTCCTGTGAGGTGGAGGATGTTTTCTGAGCTTTTATGGCGTTGATAAGGGATTTTAACCCCTTTTTTTCCTTTTTTTTTTTTAAATTATTGGTTGCTGTTAGCCGTTGTCTTTTCTCACTCAATGACCCACATCAAGATCCTCAAAAGTCTGCATAATTGGAGCGAAGAAGGGGGTTTAGGCTGTTGGCACCTTCACCCAGTCGACAGGACACAAATTTTTTATTTATATTTTGTGCTTTTCTTTTACTTTTCTGATTTTTGAGGGTGAATTTTTTGGCACCCGTTTGAGAGAATGTGGCGGGGGATGAAGTGCCCTGCAGCGCCTTAAAAGGGTCTGGATGTGCATGAGTGTCATGTGGGGTTTCGCATCCCTGTTTCATCATTCCAGGTCTGTAATCTTGTGCTCTTGCTGTGGAATCATTTGCAAGACGAATACAACTTCGTTTGGCTTTTGAATCCCTCCTTTTTTTTTTTTTTCTTTGTTGTTGGTGCATGTTGTGTATTTCACTACCTTGTGTGGGTCTTTTCTTTTTGTGGTTGTGTTGCATCTGGTGAGGCTTTGCTTTTCGCCATTCTGCTTTTTTGTTGTTTTTGTAGTTGTTGCTTTGGTTTATGGATCCTCATTGAACTTCTAGCGGTGACGGCCTCAATGGCAGGAGGTTTGCACGCACGACGACGTTTGGGTTTGCAGGTCCTTTTTTTTTTTTTTGCTGACTTTGTAATGGCGTGCTTTTTCGCGGGAATGTTGCTTGCGGATGAGGCGGAATTAAAAGCGATGGCGGGGGCCGAAGTGGAGACGGAGTCCCGGCGATGGATGGACACGTACATGGAGACGGCCTCCGCCATCATAACGGATCTGACACCAGCCCCCCAGCAACAGCGATGAAAACACGGAAGAAAAAGGCGACTTCTGTGAAGTGATGGTGAAGCGGATGTGGGGGGAGGTAATTTTGCTTTAGTACAATCCTGCCCTTAAGAGGGCGCTGCCATCGCATCGTCGTCGACACAGGGAGGTAACTTTGGGGAAACCCGAGGCAAATCAAAAGTGCATTGTTTGTTCTTTTAGTGTCGGATTTGGGAACCGTGTTCAGGCACTTGCCAGCGTCTTAATTGCGGCGTCGCTGTCGGGACGTGTGTTTCTCATGGAGGACCGGTCCACTCCGCTGAGGTCATTCACAGCGGCGTTCCTCCAGCCAACACTGCTCCCTTTTGTCGAGCATGGGAATGCATCTCATGAAGCTTTTCGTTACGAAAGCCTGCGGGTGCTTTTTTGGTTTTTTAAACAATGAAAGCGCTTTTCGTGTGGAGAATGAATTTATGTTTTGAAGCTTATTTCCGGTCATGTCACTCAGCCAACTTTGGGAAACTTTACCACGATGGGTTTAGAAGGCCAAACAGTTCAAAAGGGGTGGCTCTCTTTAAAGATGGTGGTGCGAAAATTATTATCCGTGTGAGTCGTGACAAAAAGCTAAGACTTTGGAAGCACTTTGCATGTGGGGACTCTTCTGAAAGCCGTGAGGTTGATTTTTTTCTCTGGACAGAAATTCATCTACATCTGGAGCAGTCAATACTTTCTTCCACTCCCTTTACGTCAAGAAGCACATAAGGCCTTTTGTGAAGGCGTGGTTCACCAGGGATTCATTTTTCTCATTGTTGCCGTAGATATTTCTTCCATCAAGGCCTGTAATGTATTGCGTTTTGCGTTCCATACAGTTGAACACCTTGTTGAAAAGAAGTCACTACGTGGGTATGCATATTCGTCCATTTATGCGGCATGAAACATGTCGCCTTGCTAAATTGTTTTTTAATTGCGTGTACAAATGCGTTAAAAAGTCACCTTCGCCTCCTGCCCTCTTCTTGACCACCGTGTATCGTGAATTAAATAATTATTTGGGTGCGCGTCTGCTCCAAGGTGGGGACCGTGTTGTTTCCTTGAGCTCCGATCAAATAGGGGTGGAGCAGAGCACCGGAAAGGGCTCAGTTCCAGAGTGAGAGGCTTTGGCAGATGTGGTTATGTTGTCATGGTCGAAACATCTTTTTTTTTTTTTTTTTTAATCTCCAGACTCGACTTTTGGATTTCTTGCCGCGGCGGCTGGAGAAGTTGAATCCATCACGTTTGTGAGGGGGCGACAGACATTTTTTGCGGTAAGTCGAAAAACGTGCGTTGCGTCCAGTTGAACTCAAATGCAGTGGTGGAACCGTGTTTCGCATCGTGGTTTAGACTGGAATTCATCCGGAAACGCCGTCACGAGATGGGGTGCGAGATGAGCGACTTACCTTCGTGGTCACTTTATTCCGGCGCAATTATTTGATGCCCTAAAGAAACTGTTCGCACTGTCGTGGTGGCAGGCGGCTCTGGTAGGGACCGACCCGCTAGACAAGGTGCTCTCCGCCGCTGCCCTGTGCCTGAAGATTTCACTCTTCATGTTCACCTCTACTCACCAGGCACTCCCTGTTGTTGCCCAACAGAGGCTTCTTATGCATTTGAACATTTTTTCTTTTTCATCTTGTTGTGGGGCAACGGTGGCTGTAATTAGAAGTACAACGACATATATGTATATGTGTTGTGCACCTGGTGACACTTCCCATTTATGTACTTTTTTCTCCCTCTCCCTGAGAGACATTTTTTGGCGTGACGCATGTGTTTTTTTTTTTTTTCTTATCGCTGTGCTCTCTTGTGAGGCAAAGTGGAGTTGGCGTTTGTGATGTGCGAGGGAGTCACGTCTGACGAAGCGCTGCATCGCTTCGATTTGCTTCGGCAACATCTTTTTGAGGAAGATGATGCCTGGTACGCCATGCGAGCGGAGGAAAACCGGCTGCTGTATGGAGACACAGTTGGGAGAAAACCCAAAGCTACCGCGAGCATCCCACAGAGAAGATATTTCAACTGCTTTTATGATTCATTCAAGCAACGTGACGATAAATTTAACCTCAATATTCTCAGGGAGGTGCTGCAAAAGGAATGGGCGGAGCGCGAGAAGTTGAATGAATATGAAGAAGAGGAATTTTATTCCATTTGTCGCTGTGCGGGCAATGCACTGGGTGTTACTGCGTGGAGTCGTCGTTATCGCACTTCGCTACCGTTGGTGGGGGCGGAGGAATTTGGGCGGAGAATGATAGTAACTGAATTCTTCGCCATGCTTTTGGAGGCTGTGTTTATCTTGGAGGGTCTTCATCGCCGAACGATTTCATTTTTGAGGGAACCTCTTGCACGTAAGGCCATTGAAGGAGATGAGGTACATAAATGGGTAGAAAGTCGACGATGTCAGGTGGAGCGAGAGCGGCGAGAGGAGTCCATGTTTGAAGCAGAGGAGCGTCAGCGTGAATTGGCCTACCACGATTGGAAGAGGCAACAGGCATACCAGGTGTACTTGTTTGAGAAGAGTGAGGAGGAGGAGCGAATGGATGTAGAAAGGCTTCAGCGTTTTCACGTTGGCATTATTTCGCAGATATTCCGTAAAGAACATATGGAGGCGCAATATCATCAATTGCGGTATCAAATGAGAAAGCGCCTACTTTCTGCGGAATTGTCACGGCATATCATTGGGAATGAGGCTACAGAACGGTCTAACATTATGGTCTTGCAGCACGACCAATTCTGTACTTTGCAGGCAGAGGAGGTAAAGAGTTTTCTCTGGACGAGACGGAATACGTTGTTGAATGAGCTAGTGGATCGGGAGCGTGGCGGCGAAGGATGTGTCTATGCGTACATGTAAACTACGAAGAGAAAAAAAAAAAAAAACAGTAAATTGAAAGAAGGAGACAAAAGGAAAGCATGAAGGATTTGAATCTTTGCTTGGAAAATAGACGAAACACATGAAGAGAAAAACAACGGCATCGGGATGCATCATATGTTTTGGCTATAATAATAATAATAATAATAATAATAATAATTGTTGGATTATTTGCCTGTTTCCACATCTTCATCTTACAGATTTGTTTTGTTGTTGTTGTTGGTTTTGTTGTTATAGCTCTTGAAGTGTCAGGAATTTAACACTTCACATTTTACTTGCCCCATTTTTTTCTGCGTGTGTGGACTGCTGAATGCCGAGGGAATGGCGACGACACCCCAGTTAACTTCCTCATTGGATTTGCTACGCCCTCAGCTAAAAGGTGTTCGCGCTGAGCATGGCGCTTTGGTGTCCCTTCGCGATGCTCCGGCGTTTGAAATGGTGATGCGACTCAACCAGCGATACAAGGGGAAATTGGTCACCGCCATCATGACGCAGAACGGCGCCCACGATGCACCCAAATCCGATGATGACGTTCAGCGTAATTGAATGAGGCGAATTGCAGCACGATAAACGTCGTTCGTGCCTCGGAGGAAAAACGTTTAGTTTTTGTGCCCGAAGCATATGAGGCGTTTCTCGGAAATGAAATGCAGAAGTGGCTGGATCCCTTTTATGGTCGCAATGAGGCTAACAAGTCTAAGCGATCTCGTGCTGAAAGGGACATGTTGAGTAGTGATGAAGAGGAATTTACGGGTGACGGAATGGAGGACGACGAATACTCCTCCTTCTCTGAATAACACCCCGCCCCAAATAAGTTTTTTTTTGTTCTGTTTTTGTCGTTTTTGAGGCAATATCCATTGGACCGCCTCCAGTTTTTGTTTTTGTTATTTCTATGCATCCGAATATCCGAATTGTTTTTTTTTTCTTTTTGCAGCTCTGCACATTGGAAGGAAGGAGGGAGAAGGGGCGCCATTATTTATATATAATTTGGCCTTCTGCCGTGTGTACAGAGGCGGTTAATTGGAGTTGTAACATTAAACGACGATAAGCGAGGAGGATCCGTGTCGCCTGCCGATGGTGGTCCAGCGCGATCGTTCCCATGAACTCTACAGTTTGTTTGAGGGCATGAAGGGTGTAGGTGGAGCGAGCATTCAAGAAACGTCATCCACGGCTTTTTTGTCGGCTGAAGGGGATACGCCGCGACCGCCACACTCGGGTTTACATTCCAGCAGCGAAGTGCAGCTTTTTAATCGATTTGCCCAGGCGTTTTCAATGGATCTTGCTAAGGTGTCGGAGTCAATAATGCGACTGACGAAACTCACTCAACGGCAAAGTGTGTTTGAGGACCAGTCATCAGAAATAACGGGGCTCACACAAGTGGTCAAATCGTCATTGCAGAGGCTTCAAACGGATTTGGAAACACTGGAGGAGCTCAAGCAGCGGGCGCTTGTTGCACAGAAAACAGCGGCATCCAAAAGAAACGGTGGGGCATCCGGTGAGTCCCATAGTCTGTGGAATTCGGGTGGAAGCGCAGATTCTGTTGTCAGAACCTCTGCAAAGCATAGTGACACGGTGGTGGATACTTTGCGAACACGACTTGCCCGTACCGGACAGGAGTTTCGGACCACGCTGCAGCAACAAACGCGGGCGATGAAGGACAATGCACAGCGCCGCAATATGTTTACGACGAGTGAACGTATGCAAACATTTGAAAGTGCGTTGTTTCAGGATCAGGAGCGGCATCAACTTCAACGACAGCAACTAATGTCAGGGACTAGTAATGCGCAGTACTACAAACAGCGTGCCGAGGCAGTTCGGGAACTTGAGGCCACTGTTGTGGAGGTGGGTGAACTATTCAATGACTTTGCACGACTTGTGCACGAGCAGGACGAGGTTGTTCTCCGAATCGACACAGACGTGGACAATGCGCTGCGACACGTGAACGCTGGAAGTAACGAGTTGATGCGATATTTGGCAAACTTAAGCTCAAACCGTGGCTTGATATTAAAGATCTTTGGTATCCTATTCTTTTTTTTGCTATTTTTCGGTCTGGTCATTGTGCGTTAGACCTCACCGAGGATTATGGATAGAAAGGGTGGGATGGTGGGAAAGAGAGAGAAGGAGAGAGAAAGACTAAAGAGGAGGAGGGGAGAAAAACGAGGGAAGGGAGATGTGGAGTTCGATCATCTGCCCCTTTTGTTTTGTTGTGCAAAACTCCCCTCTTGTTCGACTCTCTTTGTGTGCATTCAGGCGAGTCAGGGGTGTGTGGGGGGTAAAGGAATAAGTAGGCAAGCCGTGCGGTGCAGTGTTTGTCTGCGCGTGGAAGCGAGTAATGGCTGTGGGCATCTCCTTATTTATCCTCACTCTACCAAACACGAGGCATTTGGGCGAAGAGGCAAGTGGAGTCAAAAAAAGAAAAAAAAACAGAAAGTTGGTAAAACTTTTGTTTCTTTTTGCCTTTTTTTTTTATCTTCTTTTGCCTCTCTGATTCTGTGGACCCGCAGCACCCTCTTTCTCTCAGACTCTATTTTTCTGTCTATTTGTTGGGGATCTGTATGCATCAACTTCTCCTCATTTATTCTCTTTACCATTGATACCCTGCAACGCGGAGCAGTGAGGGGCTGAGTCCTGTAGTTGTGGTGGGCTCCCTCCGGCTTTCCCCTTTTTTTGTTGTTGTTTTGTGTTTATTTCTGCGTGCGCGTTGTTGCAGTGGCCGGCTGTGTGGCGTGAGAGACAAACTGAAGGGCACCGAAAGTGACGGGGTTCTTCACTGCGTGTCGTGCTTTTTGTTTACGTCGAGTGGGAGGGGGCGAGAGGCGAGCACGCAGAGGTGGTGCAGTTCCGCAGTTATTGAAGGGGAATATTGCAACTTTAATTCGACGGTTGAGACAAGGGCGGAGAGAAGGAGGGGGCCGCGGCGGTAGCGAACAGGAAAAAAAAGAAAAGAAAAGAAAAGAAGGAAGAGAGCCGAAAGGAAAATGATTCACCCAAAGTTGTTGGCTTCACAAGAACTTTCACTCCGACGCATTACTGTGCAGCAGCAGGGCTTCACCCCTCCGTTTGCGGGCAATGACGCGAACAATATGAGTGCGCCCATCAATAGTGCCAACGCAAGTGTGTGTAGTGCTTCCGTTCCCCGACAATCGTCAGTTCGCAGTGAGTTGACATCGCCATTGACTTTCAACAGCACGGGGTCGACTTTTTCTTCGATTCCTCTCAACAAAACCGTTTCCTCGTCCTTGGATCCAATTACAGCGGGCGGCACGAATAGCACAGCACCGGCTTCTATTGCGCTTCCGAAGATAAGCGTGCGTCCGGAATGGGAGTCTGCTCTTGCGAATGCAAACCCATTTGTGTTTTCGGGGCAAAAGCTGTATGGTTCTCAACTGTCTACGCGACGTCGTGTAAGGGTTCGGTATGTTGCGGATCAATATGATCGCCAGTGGATCGCGCAAAGAGAGACACCATCGAATTCAGTGACAACAAAAGGCAAGACTGGAAGTATAGACTGCTCAACGACTCCTTCGATATCTGTCTTGTCTTCATCGTCGTCATCATCATTGCGTCATAAAATTTCACTTTCTCTTCTGGAGGATCTTATAACCGCATTTGAAGTGGGCTCCTACGGCAATCCTGAGATTCCTGTGCAACGACAGCCGGTTTCAAGTTTTAATAGTGTCTTGGCAACTGGGGCAGATGCATCAGTGGTGGAAGAGGTGCGTCAATACTGGTTAGGAAAACGGCAAGCCTTGGGTGGTAATATACCATGTATTCCATCTCTCCATATTAATGTTCAAGAAGATAACCAAGTGTCTTTGTGCCACAACGATATTCTTCAGCTTTGTCCCCTTCCCTTTAATCATAGAGACTGGTCAATTGCAGTCTTGCAACGCCGTATTCCAAATGTTTCTGAGGTGAAGCTGGCAGAAGCAGACATGGAGGAGGTTAAGACTGAAGAAACAGGATCCGTGGGACGAAAACGTCGACGGTGTGACACCGACAAGGTCATGTCGGATGAACTTTTCAGTGCCAAAATGATGAATGAAGAAACGGCAGCAAAGAAGGAGCGCCATGCACTCGTGTCATCTGCGTTGAAGGTTGCGCGGGCGGTATTGGAACGTGAAGAGAAAAAACTAGTTCACACACATCTAACCCTTTATGAGTTGGCTCTTTTGCGGCAGGCTGCGATGGAAGGGTACGACTCCCTAGAGACAGGTGTCTCCACGTCTGCCCGCACACCCTGGGCGAGTGACGAGGCACTGCAGGAGGATTGGATGGATGAGGATGAGGCGGGGACGGGAATTTATAGTGGCATGGGAAGTGGACTTGTTGCGGCGGCGGTGGAGAGCGTGATGGCCATTGACAGAGGGTCGTATTGATCAACGGTGGTGGTGGTGCTGGTGGTGTGTTTATGAAATGCGGGAGAGAAGGCGGAAACACGCAAACACAGACACAAAACAGTGTGGGGGAGTGAGAAACAGACAGGATGCACGTGTGGCTGGTTGGAGGGAATACCGACATCCGTTTTTTTTTTTTTATTGTTGTGTTGTTGTGTTGTTGTTGCTGGTTTGTTTGCCCCCATCCTTTGAAAGGGTAATTTCACGTTAGATGAGATTCCTTGATTTTTATGTTTTTCTGTTGGGAGATTTCTTTTCTTTTTTTTTGTTTGATGAAAATTAGGAGTCTTACGTTAGTTGTAACACCTATTTATTCAATCTTTAGACGTCAATATCTGCTTTTTGCGTTGGGAAGAGAGGAACTTTAAAAGATTCCATCAATTAACAGCAAGCAGCCAAAGAGTAATAAAGAGAGAAAAGGGGATAAATTAGTAACTATATAAATATACGCTTATTGTCACGGTGGGAGATGCTTCGCTCGCCGCAGCCGCGCTTTCCACAGCACGTTCCTGGTGCTTATCCACCTCAGCAGCAGCAGCAGATGCCGCCGCAGCCCCAAAGCCAACCACAGAGGCCGATGAACGCGCAGCCTCCGGCACAAGCGATTCAACAGCAGCTGGAACATCAGGATGTGGTTCACGATACACAGTTTGATTACTACGGGCAGCTTCTTGCGACTGCAAGTTCAGATCGCACTATAGGCATCCACGTCGTTCAAAATGGTCAGTTGCAGCGTATTGCCACACTTGCAGGCCACGAGGGACCGGTGTGGATGGTAAGTTGGGCACATCCTCGTTTTGGCATGGCTCTCGCTTCTGCAGGCTACGATCATAAGGCAATTATATGGAAAGAGATGTCCCAGTCTTCGAAACAGTGGGCTCCGGTACATGTTATTGACTGCCATCACGGCAGCGTGAACGCTGTGCAATGGGCTCCAGAAACCCCAATGGTAGCGACAGCCAGCAGCGATGGAACTGTGGCGGTGACCGTGTTTGAGGGTGGCGTTTGGCGTGACAGCCTAAAGCTCAGCAACAATAGCAACAACATTGCTCATGCAATGGGGGCGACGAGCGTTTCCTTCGCACCAATGCGTCCATCGCTGGGCGGTGCCGTGTTGTTGGCGTCTGGGGGTTGTGATTCGCAGGTGCGCTTGTGGTGTCTGCAGGAAGGAAGTCCAGTGGCAAATTCATTTGAACTGTTGGAAGTTTTGGAGGGCCATACGGATTGGGTACGTGATGTGGCATTTGCCCCTCTGTGTGCTGCAACCAGACACGCGGTTCTCGCCTCTTGTGGACAAGACAAAAGTGTTATCATTCACCGCAAACCATGGGACCAATTAGGGGCACTCATTCAGGAAAGACAGCGAAGCAGTAGTGCAAACGGGCCGCAACAGTATTTACAGAAGGAAAGTGGCGGCATTTGGGAACGCAGCGTGGTGCTTTTTGACGAGCCTGTGTGGCGCCTGTCATGGTCCCCGGCAGAAGAGGTGTTGGTGGTAACAACAGGGGATTCTGAGGTCTACATTCTTCGCGAAAACGGGGAATTCACGCAGCCATGGCTGAAGACACCCCTCAGCGAGTACCAATCTGGAACACGGTAGAGAGATGCGGGTCGAGGCATCACAAGAAGAAGAGGGGGAAAAAAAGTAGGAGAAAATCACGACAAGTGAGGGAGCAGTGAAGCATTTTTTGCGAGGGAGGGAAGGGAGATGCCACGCTTTTTTTTTTGTTGTTGTTTTGTTTTCCTTCAAGAATGATCGAATTTGTCTTTGAAGAAGAGGCAAAAGGGGGGAAAAGGAGATTTTTTTTTTCCTCTTTTCCTTTTTTTTTTTTTTTTTTTCCTGTTTTCCGTTTTCCCTTATATTTGCGACGCATGTTTAATTGACAGTTATTTAAAGGACACTCTGCTCGCGGTGAACGCCTCATTTTTTAATGCACTTCCGCCTCGGTGGCTTGATGGACGTGCTGTGTACGCATCCACGTGGCCTTCAAAGTCTTTGCTCTTCTCATCTGTTGGGCCTTTGTGGAAGCTGGTGAGGGGAGAAGAGAACCCACGCTAACTCAAAAGTAAGGAATTAAATTTTTTGTTTTGTAAAGCCGGCGGAGGAAGCCATGACTAGCACGGAGGCTGCTGCTGTTGTTGCTGCACCGAGCAAGCGCATGCCGCCGTGGCTCTCGATGCCCGGCGGCCCGAAGGAGCCAAACTCCGCTGCATTTCGCGCCAAGATGTCAGCTCTTGCGGAGGAGAAGCGAGCCCTGCTGAATGAGGTGAAGCAGCTGCGGGCATCGCTGGGTCCACGTGAGGGACGCGAGGAGTCGGGCAAGGAGCTTGATGGGCTGCGTCAGCGCATGGGCGAGATTGATAATCAGCGTAAGGTGGAGCAGGAGATGCGGTTTAAAAAAAACGAGGAAATTCAGAGGATTCAGAAGCTGCATGACGAGCGTGTGAGCCGACTTCGCGAGTTGTCGGACGACTTGGGCGGATTCACGACAATAAAGGAAATCGACGACGCCATTGCATTTGTAACTCGCAGGATGGAGACAAGTGGTGGTGGCCTCGGTGCAGAGAAGCGCGCGGTGCGGCAGTTGAGTAAATTGGAAGAGGCGAAGCGGTATCTGGTTGAGCTCCAGCCACTGACAGAAGCCATCACAGAGGCGAAGCACCGTGAGGCAATGCTGCAGCGTGAGTGGCAAGAAATTAATGAGCGCATTCGCAACCTCCGGGCAGAATATAATGAGCAGCGGGCAACGAAGCAGCAGAAGGAGCAAGAGATACGCAGCAGTGGGGTGAATCGAGCAGAGATCTACAAAAAGTGTGAGGAGATTAACGGCAAGATTACCAAACTAAGTGGGGAGATGGATCGTCTGCGTGAAGAACACAACAAAGCCATGGAGGCTTGGAACACATGGCGGGAGGAGGCCCGCGCCAAGTATATTGCCAAGATGGAAGAGGAGCGAAAAGAACGGCGGCGCCGGTACCTGGAGCGCAAGAATGCAGCGAAGATTGAAGCCAAGCGGGCGCGGGCGCTTCGCCGTCAAAACCCATACGAAGCAGAGATTGATGCGTGCAAGACACTGCTGCGCTACATGCAAGACCAAAAGGTCATGGTACAGCGGGAGGAGGTAGAACTCGCCCGAAAACGTGCCGCCGCGACGTTTGACCCTACAAATTTTCTTCCTGAGGGTGCTGTTCTGCTGAATGACGGCAAGAAATTCTCTGAGCCCCACAAGGCCGCCCCAGGTGGCAAAAGCAAAACGAAGCAGAACCAGAAGCAGAAGTCAGAGAGTGCCCCTCCAAAGAATCGTGTCTTGCAGCACCCGGAGGATAAGATTCGTCTTTTTCAACTCATTAATGAGGAGCCACCCGTAGCTTTGTCTGCCATTGATGGCGCTATGGAGACGATTCGCTCCAAACAAAAGGAGTACGAGAGCCACATCAAGACAGGCGAGCTGGAACTCTCCAGCGATGACGAGGAGGAAGAGGAGGAGCAGCCGCAGGAGGAGGAGGAGACTGCTGCTGCTGCAACCGAAGAAGTGCAGAAGAAAAAAGATGAGGTTGAGAAGGAAGTGACAGCCGACAAAATCGGCTTAGTCACACAAAATGAAGAGACAGTCGAAGCGTGAAAACAAAACCAAAATGAAAGGCAGGATGAAAAAGAAAAGAAAGAAAGAAAAAACGACTTCCGGGTGTCGAACTGCCGTAATGATGGGCTTACAATAACCGCAAAAACACAAAACTTTCACCCTCTCCGTCTCATGCATGCGGAAGGGGGCTAAGAAGATCAGACATGTGGAAAGGGGAGGAATAGGAAAAAGAAGGGAGGAGGAGGAGGAGGAGGAGGAAAAGGAGGCATGGAGAGGGCGAGAAGTCGTGCAGTACGTTCTCACTTGTGCCACGAAGGAAAGAGTTGTCAATTTCGCGCGACTGCCTG